TAATTCGTTTCTTTAAGTATATTTAGCTAATTACTTCACGACGAAATAAAAGTTCATAACGTCCATTTTACGTAGCGATGGCATCTTGAGTCATGTATACTTTATCCCGCTACGAATAGCTCCCGGTGTTAACGGTATGAACATAATGACTGTTATCACAGTCTAAACCCGCATCACAATATACTATGCTAGAATTAAATACTGTTCAATAATAAGGAATACATTAATAGGTTAAAGTACTCGTTGCAGAATGTTAACGATTTATATAAAAGAACGGTTATTAGTTAGAACCATTGCTTCTTCTTATCTGTAATTTATTATAATTTCTGTATTTCGTACACCCAAAATCGATCCGAACAAAAAAGCGCGTTGGCATGGTGACATGATTCATTTAACACGACAAAATGTTGATATTACTAATGAGATATTGTGGGAAGCGATTTTAGCTATTACGTCAACAAACATCAGACTACGAGGCCGAGTTCTGCCCAAAACTAGTCCCGCGACGTGAGCCTCACGGCCCGTGATTCGATGATCTAACGCAGATCTTATCATTCGCGGGCTCCCGCGCGTGAGCTCACGGGAGCAGCCGTGATCGTGATCTGTGACGCGAGACTTATATTCGGGGCTCCGCGCGTTGAGCTCACGGAGCAGCCGTGATCGTGATCTAACACAGATCTTTATAATTTCGGAGCTCCGCGCGGATGAGGCTCACGGGGCGCGTGATCGTGATCTGAACGCAGATCTGTATATTCGGGGCTGCTGGCGCTTGAGCTCACGGTAAGCAGCCGTGGATCGTTGATCTAACACAGATCTTTATTCGGAGGCCTCCGCCGCGCGTGAGATCACGTCGAATATAGAATCGAATGGCATAGAGAGACGTCGCAGAGGTGTCCGCATCAATGACGACACACAACCAAGAAAATAAAATCGCAGATCTTCAAATCGTTTGTCAATTTCCAATATATTCGTCGGCAGCCTTACGCGATTTTTTTACGAAAGCGAATCTGCGATCGGTAATAACATCGTCTTTGAATTCCGGCGGCACATCCTTTCACATTCATGGCGCTGGCCCTGTCGGCGCTTACATACGATGGATTCGCGAAGGGGATTCCTACATGATTTTAACAATGCTGTTTCCAGTGTATTGGTCACGAAAAATAATGCGACATGAAATGAACACGGAAACTATCACATGAAAAGACTACCACGCGCGAAACAATAGCTACACAGAAAAGGCAGTGGTAAGAAAAAAAAATAATGATGGATTATTCTGAAACTGCATAGCGGTATTTATTTTGATTGAACGCTTGTTTAACATTTGTTCATACCTCGACAAATAAGTTCTGGAGACATCGTTATTCCAGGTCCACATTCCTGGCCTCGCCAGCGGCCGAGTCAGGTCAGCATAATGTTCCGGTTCTGGTTAGTTTGCCAGTCAGGATTTTTATCTCATCATCACCCATCACGGGTATATATTGGTAACGAAAATAGTTGCCAAAATAAATATATTCGACGGTCCATAGATGGATAAAGATATTAGTGGTGCATGATATTAGATACTAATATTGGTAAATATATTAGGTGTGTCAATTTCTAGCAGCCTTATCCTATATATGTCACGATTATAAAATAAACATTAACCCGTTCACTCATACATGATCTTTTCACCCCATCTATCACGTAGACATGAAGTATGTATCTCCACTCGCCAATGACTGATCGCTTGCACTTGTCACACGGATCTGCGAGTTGACAGCAATACAAGTAGCACAAGACACAAGTAAGGCGGTAAGTACTTGCGAATTTTATGCGCTCTCACCTGCGATCCACGAAATCCAATTAGCTGCACATGCTAAGAAAGTTATCTCAGTTAGATCCAAATTAGTTAAAAATAACTACACTGACGAAGTTTTCGTCCATCTCTCCGATAGACTTCCTCATGTCTGATGTTCAAACATCAGACCTGAGGAACAGTGTAAGTTATTTTAACTTAATTTGGATCTAACTGAGATAATCTTATTAGCATGTGAACTATAGAGATCCGATTAAATATCAATCACTATTAGCTGCATATTACGCATGGCGTCAAGGCGCCGTATTAAAGAATTACGAGTTCTTGTGGTATGTCTTATGTCTATATCGTAACATATGCACATGGGCACTCGCTGGACCTCTTTGTGACGTCGCTACGAGGAATGTGTTCATACAATACACACGCACTTAGCACACACACACGAACGCACGCACGCACGCACGCACGCATACACTACCATCGTACTACGTCACCATTGGTACACCAAGGTTAATCAATTTTCCTTTCCGCTTTTCCACGTATGCAGCAATGGACTGGAAAAGAATTTTCCACATACGCTGTGTATCGTTGTAATTGTTGCTGGTGCTATGGTGACTATCTCCCAATCTCACTGCATACACGCATGGGGCGGCACGCGATCACGACACAATTCAAACTAATACCGATAATATATATTACCGTCATCGTCTGAAAGAAATTATCATAATACTACAGTCACTAAATGATGTAAATAAGCTGAATGCGAAAGACGAAACGTTTGTGGTAAAATTTAACAGTAAAACACTACAAAACAACTATGATCTATCGTTATTAGTATTTAACTTTAATACACCCATCAAAATGCACACTAGTTGTGGTTCTAGAGAGCAATCACTTTCTATTTAGGCGGAATTTAGCGATGATTAGATTAGTTCTGTTCATGCCATCGTGCAAAACGAGTTAAATCAATGAGGCGGCGCTCTCTCAAGTATTGCCTCTCGATATATATAATAGCAAGAACTTATAATACTAATTAATTATAATTATTGCTAATAACAAGAGCGTATAAAGAAGGAGAGCGTACAAGGGTAAAATGCTGAAACCATGCTGCAGTATTAGTCGAATTAATAAACTTTTCCCGTTTTATTTTGACGATCCTTTGCAGTATTATTGATTAGGTAAAATCTGGTATTTTCGCCGAAAACCGACTCGAGATCAGTGTGAACTGCGGTTTTCCCGTTTTATTTTGACGAATCTTTGCAGTATTATTGATTAGCTGTCTTACCTTGTTCATATAAAACAACCCGCATGTTCCTACGATGCCCCTACGCTGAGATAATGAGCGGTGAAAATCTGGTATTTTCACCGAAAACCGACTCGAGATCAGTGTGTACTGCGTCCCTCACTCGAAGTGTTTCCAGTGTGTTGCTTCCAATACTACCAGAGTTTACTATACATCCAGCGTGAGGTGGGCGTGAGGTGGGCACAGGTGGGGGTCGTCACTATGGCAATCAATAACAGACGTCATTCATTCCATTTGTCAATCATTGACGGAAACACGCGAGGTTTCCCGAAGTTATAACACTTCGAGTGAGAAAGTTTATTAATTCGACTAATACTGCAGCATGGTTTCAGCATTTTACGGTTGTACGCTCTCCTTCTTTATCTGCTCTTGATGTAACATATGTGCATGGTTTCAGCATTTTACCCTTGTACGCTCTCCTTCTTTATCTGCTCTTGCTAATAATTATAAGCTCTTGATAATATAATATAATTATAATAACTTGTTTCAGGTTCCAAACAACGAACAAGACAACTAGACGAAAACAATGACAAAAACGAGCCGTCTATTTCCCGCACTCGAAGTAATGGCTTGAAACTCCGTTGTCTGACTTGTTTGATGATCAATGCCAATTCGGCAAGACCGATGGAAATTTTATGTTATAAAAATGATCAAAAGTTAGGCACGCGACATTCCGTGTCATAGAAAAGGCTGCTAACTCGGCTGCCGTCGTCACCATCAGTGCACAGATTAATATACGCCAGACCTACACTATTTTTTGCAATTCTGATAGCAACAACCGACTTCGAATTGAGTGCAGTGCATATGTACTAAGGTAACAGGCAACAACACATCCATATGCCAGGTATGTCTGACTGCTATTAGCAACGATAGTTTGTGCTATATTTACTTTGTGTTGTTTTGTAGTGTGTACCGTGACAACATTTTAAATTACAAACCATATTCTTCTATGCAGAAATTCTGTCCTATAAGTAAGAGCAAAACTTGCGTGTACCACGTTTACATTATAAATTCATGTTATGTATGATCAGTTTTCAAGTTCCAATTCTTTAAACACGACATGAGATGTCACATTTGCTGATTGGCAATGTGCTATGTGTTATGTGTTATGTGTTATGTGTTATGTGCTATGTGTGATGTGGTTGGTGTGTGTTGTGTGATTGGCAATGTGCTATGTGTTATGTGGTTATGTGTTATTGTGATGGGTTATGTACTAGTAGTATTAACGAAGTACGGGGGCGTGCAATAACCTAATAAAAAGTTCTAGACTGTACATCTTGCAATCTTGGGCATCCTTAGCAGTTTCTTCCGATTTTCGAGCATCATAAATAAACCTCTGACACCAGAAATGTTTAAGACAAACGCCACGACGCTGGAATCGCTATTCCGATAACAAAAGATTTTGTGGATATTTAGCCGCCTTGCGTGCGAGCGTACGATACAATCTAAACGCTCGATACGTGAGTCTTGTCGGGTCTGTGCCTGGTGAAATTCTTGTCATCAGATTAAAAGAATCTATTGGAATCAAATCAATGATCTCAACACTCAACTATGTAGTACATTAACATATGTACGACTTCTATTTCGAACTGTTATATGTGGCTGTTCTTTTGGAAAATACAGTGGTTAATAAATCGAGTTAGTACAATTGTTAATCAATTAGTCGTAATCATTAATCGTACCACAATATCAAGCCACTATGCTAAGGTTATCATTACACCCAATTGCGTACCCCGTTCATCAATTTATTACAAATTCTGCACACTCATTACCGCTAATGTTTTTTACACACTCACATCATATTTTCCATCACATACTGAAGAAATTAAAGAAGGACACAATTATTTCTTCAGAAAGCGAACACGATCAGAGCACAAGACTGCTACGATACAATTTGGAACCATGGTTGAGACAGAGGAAGGGTCGGACCACAAAAATGGTCCGGACGGCGGCTGGGGCTGGATTGTGGTTCTAGGCTGCACAATGATAATGGCTTTCACATGGGGTCAGCAGGTGGCCTTCGGAGTTTACTTGGTCAGCATTACGGAGACTTTGGGTGTTGATGTGTCTGCCACGGCACCTATACAGGGTCTGAACACGGCAATATGTCTAATGATGGGTAAGTTACGGCGGTAACATACACACGCAGCTTAATAAAAGCATAAGGATGTCTAACTGTAAGAATAGTTGCAACTGGTAAGAATTAATGCATGCGCATGATTGCAAAACAAGATCAAAACAACAAAATAATTCCATCACTTTGTTAACAGTAAACAAATCAATTTCTGAGTTAATAGGTCACCGCACAGCTACTTTTGGCACATGAGTGCAATGTACATTTCACTGTCCTTCCATGAAGTAAGGAAAGTGTTAAGTTACTTAAACAAAGCGTTTTTTCACACGGCCCATCAGACCATAGCCTCGTTCACACGAGACCTCGTATTTATGAAATACGGTATTGGCGAAATACCGAATCTGAGACAAATACGCGGCCGAGCGTTCACACGCTGATTCGCGGCTCCAGAAATACGGTATTTGCGAGCTGCGAGCTGCTTTAAATAATCAAGCGAACAATGCGAAATAAACATTATTAGCCGCGTTCACACGTAGCAAGAAATCCGGTATTTAGCGTTCACACGAGACAAAATACGAGGCCCAAGAAATGCGGTATGTAAACAGATCCGGTATTTCATGTAAATACGAGGCTTCCCAGACCCCGAATAATTTGCCGTGCTTGAGAAATACCGGATTTCTTGGACCGCGCATTTCCTCGTGTGAACGCTAAATACCGGATTTCTGAAGCCGCGTATTTTATAGACTGGTCCGCGCTCGACAGTTCTAGTGTAACCCGAGTGGAACTGTCGAGCGCGGACCAGTCTACGTATTTTATCGGCAGTTGGTGCGCATTGCATTGTTTATTTCGCATTGTTTGCTTGATTGTTACTAAGCAGCTCGCATCTCGCAAAATCCTATTCTGGAGCCGCGAATCAGCGTGTGAACGCTCGCCGCGTATTTGTCTCAGATACGGTATTTCGCAAATCCGGTATTTCAGAAATACGAGGTCTCGTGTGAACGAGGCTAATGCAATGCGCACCAACTGCCGATAACATACGTAGATCTGTCCGCCTCGACAGTTCCACTCGCGTTACACTGGAACTGTCGAGCGCGACCTAGTCTATAAAATACGCGGCTCCAGACATCCGGTATTTAGCGTCACACGAGGAAAGTGCGCGTCCAAGAAATCCGGTATTCCAAGCACGGCAAATTATTCGGGGTCTGGAAGCCTCATATTACATGAAACACCGGATCTGTTTAGATACCGTATTTCTTGGCTCCGTATTTTGCCTCGTGTGAACGCTAAATACCGGATTTCTTGCTACGTGTGAACGCGGCTCATGTTTTCCAAGAAATGTTGGAAATCCGTCGTTTGTCCAACTGTCCTTTGACGAGTGATATTCAAATTGCCAAGGTCATCGATGGCTTCTTTCACCCTTACTCGCCCCTCTATACCAAATATCTAGAGCATAGCCAAAACCGGCGAAAAGCAAACATGTGAGTATATATATATATATATATATATATATATATATATATATATATATGCGTGCGCGCGTATATATATATATATATATATATATATATATATATATATGCGTGCGCGCGTGCGAGCGCGTGTGTGTGTTAGTTACAATGTACTGTCCTGATCAATCCCGATGACCACTTCCTACTGCTCTAATCCTAATTCTATCTCTACCTTAATCCAAACCTCTCAACACTCGCCTTATCCTAAACTCAACCCGTAATACTAACTTTACTATCAATAACGATTTCTCTCATGGTATCAATGAACTTCACTAATGATACATAACGGTGTTTACTGCAGGCCCGCCTACAACTATCATGTGTAAAAGATTCGGATACAGACCTATTGGGCTTCTGGGCGGGATTTCTCTGCGGAATGGAATACTCCCTGAACTACTTTGCTAACAGCCTGGCCTTTATCTACATAACGTACGGGATCATAAATGGTACGCATGTCTAACTCAAAGTATACTAAGTACCAGGCACGCACGCACGTACGCAGACTCACACGCGCGCACACGCGCGCACAACTAGTGTGTGCGAGTGTGCGAGCGCGTGCATGTTTGCATGCGTGCCTAATGCTTAATATTTACACAAACCCTATGTATGTGTAAGCGCATGTGCGTGTGCGTGTATGTGTGCGCGCGTGCGTGCGTGACTGTACACTGACACGGCACTAAGAAATCCACATGCATCCATCTAATTTAACAGCTGAACGCCTATTATGGTATCGCTTGCATTCACAAAAAAATTATTCCAATAGGCCGAACACTTGTTATAGTATAAACAACATAGTAACAACATAACAAGTGCTGCGGAGCGACAGCGCTCATCTCACGTCTACTGCGGTGACTCTGTGATGGAGTGGTGGGATTCTAGTAAACCCGTTAGTCCAATGTGTTCACAACGCGCCAAACAGTGAAAGGCACAGGGATGTATCAGGAACCTTCTCGAAGGAATGTTCGTTGGGATCGTTATGAAAGTTGCACGAGATGGCGCGTACGTTTAAGTGACTTAAACTTAAAAGATGGAAGGCTCCCATCGTACGTAGGTAGCAAACAACTATTTGCAAGACAGAATAGTGTAAGCACCATCATCTTATCCTACGCAAGCCGTCCAGCGGAAATAGGAGAGCTGGCCACCTGTAACTAATTAACACAGCAAAAAGCTCAGCAGGTACATCACCACACACTCACTGCAGGGGCCACTGGCCAGTGGCCATAAGTGATGTAAACACTAACAGTAACAGAAATGCCAATAGAAAGTATACTTTAAGAGCATAAACCTCTCCTCAGACCACATTTAGCTTTTGAAATTCACTTGGGACATTGTTAAAAGCCTCACATATTCAGGCATGTATAGATCCATTTCTCCAACACATGACAACGCTGTGCTCCATGAGGCTAATCTGTCACCCTAACCCGAATGGAATAAAAATGAACTTAACTAAGCGATTGAGTCCACTTACGTATAACCGCAGCAATAACGGTCCTGTTGCGTATCGACACCGCATATTAACCGCATAGTTGGCTCGTTCTGTGAAAGCAATGCAGTTCACAGTTTGCGCTGATATAATAGGGATATATGAGATATACCGAAGCAATTATTTCCGAATGAAGTTCTACGGTAAATTGCAGAATGCACAGACAGAAGTTCAACCCGATAATAGTAGATATAATCCAGCCATCAAGCACAGTGCATCCAGTTGGTGTGCTATGCACAGATTTCAGTCATTGGGATTATCCTGTTTGACTGAATGTGTGCGATGGAACAAGAAATAGTAATTTAACCAACACTTTAATTTTTGTCGTTACTAATTTTCAATCGAAAAAGTTCCAACATACATGTTTAAGTAGCCTCAGTATTTGTGAAATTTCATGAGAAAAAAAACAAATCACGATGTGGTTTTGGTGGGTTCTGTATGAACTAACACGTAAGCAGAAAAGATCATCGAGTACACTAACAATCTCAGTAATGTTTCAGAAAACGTCCATGTTGCAAATTCGTTACAATTACCAATCACATATGCCTACCCATGTTAGGGCTATCATCTACATTGCAAATACTTAAAATTTCTCAATATATTTTCCCCAAACAAACGTAATCCATTTAAAGGAAATATTTTAGCACCCTAATAATATTTGTATAACATAATAATGACTGAAATGAAACTCAAGATTTATTCACAAAGCAAAGTTAAACCAGAGACAACAAAATCCAATATGATACGTATTTGAACCATGCGGAGAACATAAGAATAGAGTTGAAACGGACAGCACGGCCCATGTAATATTGGCTCTCGAGCGGGACAGCAGCTGCATTTGGATTCTACGTGGTCAACATGACATAACAACCTGAGGGCTGACATTTTTCTACGCATTCCATAACAGGGGCTAACATGCGCATGTGTCGAATCGCCATTGCAAAAACAACGTCGAATCCCTCGAATGTTTCACTATAGCTCATGACGTCATAAGAATATGCCGACATCTGTAGCGTAATACTAATAGCACAAACAACCGATTCATCAAACTTTGATATTGACTTTTAAGCTTTATTATTTTAACAAACGTAATGGGGAATACTCATATGGGGTGCTGGTTCCTTCGCCACCAGAAAAAAACAAAAACAATGATCGGCTGACGTTGACTATGGTGTCTGCACATGCTATAGCAGTAGGCGTTCAGCATTAGAAAACGTCACGTGCTCTTGTCAATCTAAATTTAATCTCACTGCCACAGATTGTATACTACAGAGGTATTGATTGAACACGATTGCTGCCCCTACGTACGAATGCAAACAAATTAGATTAGAATATTATTTGTACACGAACGCAGGCAAGACAAGTAGTAATGACATTTCGATATGCCACATCCATATATATATATATTATATATATATATATATATATATATATCAGCTTCGACATCCCAACTCGTTTTCGATTACCCCCACGTCCCGAATATCGTGACCGTACGTCAGCGAAAGCCGCTTAAGATCTGTGCCCAACTGTGACGGACCAGCGGACGAACACGGCGCAACGGACTCACGGACGCACGAACGCTCATGCGATTCTACAAGCTGCATCCGACTATGTCAGATGAGCTAAAAACGTTCGCCTGTGCAAACCAGGCATAGCAGCCTCATTACATAGCAGCCTCTAAATGTGACATAGCAGATATTTCCTAACCTTTCATGATCTGGCACGGTAATTAGAATGCTCTTAGCATAGCACTGCTAAATAATATTTTCTCCGTCAGCCGTCGGAGCTGGAGCACTGATCATAATCACTTACGGCGCCATCAGCGACTATTTCTCAAAGAGGATCGCCTTGCAATGGGCATTGTGACCTCCGGAGCCGGTCTGGGCTCTCTCGTGCTGCCACTACTCGGCAAGTGGCTCATAGACGCATATGGCTACGAGGGGGCGATGCTGATCAATGGTGCAATCGTGCTGAACACTGTAGCCTGCATTGCACTCTATCGACCTCTGCATCTACACGACCAGCGCCATGTGGCTGAAGACACGTTGGGTCCTGCTATATCAGTCACTGCCAGCACCAGCGAACTGCTGCAGTACGGAGAATTCGAATCTACCAAGACGGATAGTGTACTTGGCGGAGAATCGGTCACGCAGGATGACCGCTCGCTAAACCTTCAGCAAGGAGACTTGGTGGCAGAGGTGAGCAGATCTGACGAGGACCGCAGTAGCGTCACCGTGGTGGTAACCACGCGCCAACCCGTAGCTACTCCGGGCACACACAAGAAGAAGGGTTTCGCGTGGGAGATCTTCAATGACGCTCGGCTGTGGGTTCTGTGCGTCATGGTGGGTTTCGTCGATGTCGGCACTCTCACGGCGCCCATCTACCTGCCGCTGCTCAGCATCGAGGTCGGCGGCGACGACATCAACGAAGCTGCCGGTGTTTCCATGAGCGGCATCATCGGCACCATCATTCTCGTCATAATCAGCCTCATCTGGGACTTGGGCGTCTTCAGGCGACCACACATGCGCCAGATCGGCTACGCTGCGTTTGCGATATCAACCGGCGTGACGACGCTCGTAGCCGGGTTTCTACAGAGCTACGCTGTACTCATGTGCTGGGTGATCTTCGTCGTTCCGGTGACGACGGCGGGAAGTCTGTCGACGTTCTACATCGTCGTGCGCGACATCGCAACGCCAGAAAACTACCCCGACGCCCTTTCTACGATCAACCTGATCGAGGCACCCAGCATGCTGATTTTCTCAATCGTATTCGGTAAGTATTTGGCGAACGGATGACGAGGTGGGGTGCAATCGCGTGAGATGCTTTGAACGCGAGTATTTTGTCCACAAATCATGGTTCGGCTGTGACTCACAGTTCGGGTTCTGCAATTGATTAAAGTTATTTCGATATTGTCAACTAAAGCCGACTTAATTACGTGTGTTCGGCGATCGGAAATAGTTGGCGGAATAAGAACGGAATGTCTGTGCAGCAAAGTCTCCTTTACACGTGACATTTCTAGCATACCACAACAAAACACAAATCACTTATTACTATCAACCTAACACACTCGATATTCTTATCATAGATTTGATTCAATTCTATCTTCAACTCTTTCGACTTGATCCAGTGTATTTCACCAGCCAAATGCATGTTAAATTATTGTGTAAACGTTTCAAACGTCTTGTCTTCTTGTATTTAGTTACACGACGTATCTCTGCATGTAAGCGAGTATGACTTCAAACTTCTTGGCTGCAATTAACACTACTCAGCACGCGCTGTGCGCTAACAGCGTAATAACACGTGTACTATTAGTTCTTGATATCTTCGACACTTGCTGTGTTTCAGGGCTGGTCTACAGCAGCAGTGGCAGTGCGAGCACCACCTACGTGGCACTGGGACTGTGTACGGCGCTTGGCGGAGCAATAGCGGCCGTCATGCCGTTACTGACGATCTTCTACTACCGACCTAAGGATGGTGAAGACACGAGGGAGCCTGATCTCAACCCAACGAACACATTATAGCTTTCAGGTTCTAGCCGATCGTGAACAACTTCGACGTTAGATGGCCAGAAATAGTAGGATTACTACGTGTCCGCAAATTGCCCTTTTGTGAATGTTGTTCGCCGTTCCACTGGTGCTAATAAGAATTGTGAAATACTTTTCGTATGACATCAGGAGTAGATAACAGATAATTTGGTCTGTTATCTGCACTTAATAACGCTATAGGGGGGAGCTAAACCTATGTACATATTATAATCAGTAAACTATTGTAATGCTATAAATATTTCATAACAGTGTTCAGAGTTTCCACTGGTATAGAGTATGCAGGGCGGGCCGCCTTGCTGATATTTTACATCTGCTTCGCTCAATACTTGCAGAAAGTGCCGTCTCCCTTCAAATTCTCGTCTCTCCCCCAATCGCTATCCGACCGGCATTCCCCAATCCCAGTTTCTCCCCCTACATCCTCCATCCGGCACTCCTACGCTCCACACCCATGCACTGATCAATATTGATCACGTTGTGATCACATCAAAGCAAACATCGCGTAGCGCTCTCTCACTACTACAAGAAATTCGTTAAGGACACACTCAAGCTTTTGCACGGGTATTGCCCTAATGAAGAGTAAACGTTTATTGAGAAATGAATCGAATCAATCACACGTTTCGTTTTATTCATAGATGAGATGTATCTCTAAGCTCAAGCTAAAACATTTCACGAAATTTACAGCACCTAATTCCAGCAAGCAATAACCCAGGTTCGAATCCTGGTCACGGCACCAAATGTAGCGTGGAATAAATTCGAGCCGGTTATAATGCGAACAGCAGGGTTTCACAGGGAAAACATTGTTTTATTTTACTCAGCACTCTATTACCATAACAGCCCACGTTCTCGCTCCGCATCCCCTTTTATACCTCTGGGCGTGCCCTTCTCGTTGGGCGCGTCCCTTCTCGCCTCGCCGGTCGCTTCGGCCATCTTCCCTATTGGTTCGGCATCTGACATTAGTATGACGAGTGACCACCTGGTCTATCTTACGTCAGTTTGGACTGTGTCCAAATCCAACCCTTTGGCCCTTGGCTGGCTGCCAAAATGTCCTTGGTAACTTTTATTCTGCATGCGTTGCTTCGTAACGGTGGCTAATTATTTTAGCCCACACTACTACGTGCTCGCTACTATCTAACACCTTCTGTGCCCTCTAAACTAATCACCCATCTCCCGTTGGCATAGTTACCAATCTTCTAAGCGTTGCGATGTTAATTATTCAATGTGCTGTTGGACGCCTCTATAATCGTCGTCCCTCTAAATAATTTCTCTACCACTCGTGCAACTATCCTACATTTCAATATTAATTTCCGCTCTCATGATTTCTGTTTCATTGTTCATTGTTTTTTTAATCCTAATGTAAAAATGGAACTAAGGAAATTTCGACTCTGTTGAGGAAACACCTACAAAAATATTAATTTTTTAAGGAAATCAAAGGAATCTGACAGCTTTAAGAACAAATTAATACATTATTTGTACAGTCAAAATACGGAAATCAGAACAGGCTATATATATATATATATATATGCAGGCTGTAGCTCTAAATCTGACGATTCATGTCTGTAGCTCTATAACTGATAACTGACGAAAGTATCTCTATAACTGACGAGTCACGAATGTATCTCTATATCTAACGAGTCATGGATGTGTCTCTATAACTGACGACTGACGGATGTATCTCTATAACTGACGACTCACGGATGTATCTCTATAACTGACGACTCACGGATGTATCTCTATAACTGACGACTGACGGATGTATCTCTATAACTGACGACTCACGGATGTATCTCTACAACTGACGACTGACGGATGTATCT